GGCGGGGTCATTTTCAGGACTTTCGTCCCGGATTCAGGTTTTCGCACATATGCCATGTTGACCGCCATGGTCATTTTACCCTAAAACAGTTGAGATTACCTGTCCTAAATGAATCGCATACAAACTCATATACAGGTCCTAGACTAGCAGTGATGACAGTTTTCGATGTAACTTTTGACAACTCTTGAAGTTCGAAGAACTCACTCCGAACTTTAAGTTCCATTCTCGAAAATGTTCCATTCATGAACACCCGTTCATTCCTTTCTAAGCTAGCATTGACCTCTTCTTCAGTATTCCTAAAACCAGCAATGAGAAAGTCTAAACCTTCTACAAACTCGTGCATGCGAGGCTGCCAAACCTCGGGAGCACTCGAAATTCCAAATGGCAATCGAATCCATCGATCGAAACCGTACCTACCGAAGCGAGTGTTAAATGTGGTTCAAAAACTCATTAATAATTCATGAAGCAATTATCCAATCTTGAGTAAGAAATTAGTCACGTGCATACGTCTTTATACCAGCTAAAGAACACTTTAACAAAATACCATTGTTATGCAAACTATATAAAGATTTTTATATAAAGATTTTTATATAAAGATTTTTATATAAAGATTTTTATATAAAGAATTTTATATAAAGATTGGACTTATTATGCAAACGTTTTTGAAGCCATTTAAAAAACTCGCAGGTCGTGTTTTATTAGGTCTAAAGCCACTCGCGCTGCGCGCTCGTTGCTTTAAACCTTATAAAACACTCCTGCTCGTTTTTTAAATAGTATTTAGATAACTTGAGTCTTCATGGAGTTGTACCTGACGGAATCCATATTTTGCATCGCAACCTGTAAACTTCTTTGCCCCTGTTAACCAGCTAGTTACTTGATAATGTTTGCGGCAGATTGCACGGTTAGGGTCGGCACGAAGCTCTAGAAACATGTTCTGTGATTGGTTGATTATGACAATGACAAAAGAATAAGCTATAGAATGGATTTTCTAAAGAACGAAGTAAGAACAATATTCCTTTTGTTTATGTAAAGCAATTACGTCTTCTGTCGTTGTTACAATCAACCAGTCACAGAACATCTCCCTAGAGCTTCGTGCTTATTGGACGGTTAAGATCACGTGGATTCTTGACACCTACTGTGTTGGTTTGGTCACTGGAACGATCACTTTACGTTCAACTGACTTATTCAGTTCCGATTTTATACGTGAACGCAAGGCCTCTGGCACTCGTCGTGGCGGGTGGACTACAGGTTGCACAGCGCTGTCAACCACAATCTTGTATGTGTCTGGTATTTTACCTGATGAACCATTGAACACATCCTTGTATTCCCTTCCTGGGTCTTTAGGAGGTTGGATACCCAGAGATAGGATGTCACAATGTCGCAGGTTTACAATACCCAAAGATACCTGGTATCTGGAGATAGAATTGGTCGATAGTCACCATCAATAATATTGAATTAGTTGCTTTTTTTCCCGCACGCCATACAGGAAGTGTGACCTTTCCAGTTATGTTGCGTCGCTCTCCAGTGTATGATACAAACCTTCGTGGAAAGTTTCAGTAATTCCAGCTCAGTATCTCCTGTGACCCTTATATAGTGGGAGAATGTTGCACTGGGCCCTCCGTCGATATGAATCTTAACAATTCTTATTAACGTGTAATTTTGTTACTGCTGCTTTTTGTTCTTGGAAACAGAGCTAATGACGTATGTGTCCTCTGTATTAAGCTCGTTACAGCAATGGCGTTTATTTCCAAATGCTGGGTAAATTTGTCTGCCATGACCGCAACTGCGACAGCTATTATGTTGGTGCTGTTGGGCTCCGCCTCTTGCTTGACCTTGCCCCGCCCCTCATGGGTATTTTGCATTGTAAATTTTGTGTCACCAATCTCTTTAAATGTGTTTGCAGATAAATTAATATTTCATCGGGTGTAATTGACTCATAATCACAATTCCGAGCGATTGTTCTTAATTCGGTTAAATAAGTTGAAACATTGTTCTGAGTTTTTGGTTCGTATAGTTCGTCAAATTTCTTTAGCACATGGTCTATATTGTCGTCGCTTTCGCCTTCTCCCCAGGTAAAAGGGTCGAATGTTTTGACGACATCTTCACCTGTTATGCTTAGCAGGGTTGACACACGAACAACTCCGTCTTGCTTATAAACTCCCGTGGCAATATCAAAGCGTTTCCAAGCCTGATTCCATGTTTCCCAACTTATCGCAATGTTGTCATCAAATACGAGCGGTTTTGGCGGCGGTACTGTATATTCGACGGTGGAACATATATCGGCAGGCACTTCCGCCTCTGCCATTGCTTGACATATTTACTGTTTATTTGTTTATTGTATAGGTTCTTTTCCTTGAGAAAACGCCTCGGTCGTGCAGTACTATCCCACTCCTGACATCATGTAACGATACTGGTAGCTGTTACCCAAAGTATAGCTTTATTACTTAAATTAATACAAGCATGATCATCGCACGTCTAAATCACAGTTTGTCCAAACTCTCAACAACATGAACTTACATACGTGACATGTTTAATAATATTAAATGACCCTATCGAAACAACATTATATATTTTGCTTAAAAAAACAACAACAATCCATCAGCTCGGACGATCTTCATCGGTGCTAAGTACTATTTAAAACACGAGTAGGAGCGTTTTATCAGATATAAAGCGCGAGGCGCAGCCGAGCGTTTTATGTCTGATAAAACACGACAACGAGTGTTTTGGATAGCTTAAAATACGACTACAAAAGAATACTAATTAGGATGAACCATCATATAATCATATACTAATTAGGATGAACAATTATGTAATGCCTCACGCTTTATCAGATATAAAGTCACTCCACGTGACATATTATGGCTGACATGATTTGCCACAAGGTTTATCAATTACTAATGAGTATTTTAATAATATATAATTTACAAATAAGTTAAAACAAGATTATTTTGCACGAGGCATGATAACGCGATTTTCATTTTTTCCTGATGTTACTCTGAATGTCTCCACACCGGACACGCTGAAGAATTGCTTGACCGTGATGGAATCAAGGCCGGCGAGAGGGGGAGCAGGGGGGAGGCAAAATACCCGGGGCCCGGAGTGCTCAGATGGGCCCGGAAATCTCGGTAAAATGTTCGTGTCGCTTATCATTGCTTTATGTTTGTCCTAAATGAAATACGCCTAATTGCACACTAACCGCTGATCGTTGTGATCGATCGTAAAACGTACCAAATGTGAAATATACGATTTTTCGATCGTTTTCTCAGCAAAAACAGTTAGCTGAACATCGTTCACATGGCGTTTTTATCAGTTATGCGGCGATTTCTTGCAAGTAATTCGCTGGCAATTCTCTCGTTGATTGCGATTAAAAATAGCCAGCGGGAGAGTTGAGAGGGACAGGGGGCCCGTGTTCACCAATCGTCATTTTGTCCCGGAATCGAACCTTTGACAAATGGTTTGCTATAGTCCAGCTGGCGTTAAGTAACAAGATTCCTCTAACACCTTTACGACACAAGTACAATTGCGATAAAGTATAATGACTTTACAAAACTCAATACTATCAGTGGCGTATAGCCAGCCGTGTAGTGGCGTGTGCAAATTTCAACTCATCATTATTCATTTCTTTAGAAATTGATTGTGTTGATAGTTTATAAACATGGCAATATTTGCATAGTGGGTCGGCTGGCTACGCCACTGAATACTATATCGGTGATCGTCGAACAGCAACAACAACAACAACGACAACGACAACGTCGTCGACAGCAAAACGCGCGAAGGAAACCGCGAGTAGTGCGCGTGGGCATTTGACTTTAACTAATTTATTCTGCTATAGGCAGTCAACACAATATGTGGGGCAGTGCCCAAGAAAATGAACTACAAGGTCGTAGATTCGAATCCAATCGTAGTCAAGCAAGCAATTTTTCAGCTTGCTCGGTGTCATCAAAGACCACAAGTACATGAAGACGTACGAAATTCGTTCTTAAAAAATGTTGCACGTGGACTTCATCTGTAATTAGTCAACAATGCATGTTCATAAAATCTTAAAACGTAAGGTACAATGGAAAGTGTTGTGTTTTTCTAGTCAGTTTAAACATGCAACAAAATGATTCCGATGTTCCGAAAATTTCCCTTTGCCAGGCATGTATGATGTATTAAACAAATTTGTTGATTGTTTGATATTTTAGTTCCTCCACGTATAACAAGAGGTCCAAATCATACGACAATAAATGAAGGTGAAAACATTACCCTAATATGTGACGCTAAAGGTCCACCAAAACCTAGATTTACTTGGAGTATTGTCGGTGAGAAAGTCTCAATAAAAGAGATCATTAGTAATAGCAAAAATGAGTTGGAACTTAGAAATGTGCAAAGTGTTGGTTACTATAATTTCATAGTTACATGTCAAGCATCCAACAAAGGAGGAAGTAGTACAGTAAATGCAACTGTAGAAATTTTGGGTAAGTTTTTTACAACTTAATTACAAGTATAAACTTTTAAGTTTCCAGATATAGTTAGCTACATTTCATGCACTGACTTCTATCATGCAGCAGATGGTGATCAACTAGCGGATTTCATAGTGTTTCTTATGTGAGATCAACATGCAGGTCGAAAATGAGCAAAATAGGTCCAAGCGTCCATTCACAGGCCGGCTCACCATGACTTGCCAGGTAACTCGTTGGTATATTTGCTATGGTGCGAAGTATATAACACGTGTATAGTACTTCGATTGACCATGCTGCTGTCAATCACTTTAGTGATGTTCATTCTCTCACTCATAAGATTTGCCCATCAGTATATATTTTGTTCCATTTTTTTGCAATACCAGTTCTTTCGTTGGTTGCATGACGATAAACAGCGACGCACAATAGATACGCTGTTGGCTTTAGACGGGGGATTGATAGGGATATTGATATTGAGGGGATTGATAGATATAGGTTATCATATAAGGGATGAGGTGATATCAGTTTTATCGCTCGAGGGATGATATCACAATTGTCACGAGCGAGCGCAGCGAGCGAGGGACAATTGTGATATCGTCCCGAGAGCGATAAAACTGATATCACCGAATCCCGAGTACGATAACCTATTTATTATATACTTGTACCTTTATCAGGTTTGACACCCAAAAATAAACAGTTTTGAAAAAATAGGATCATTTTAGAATTCAAAACAATTCATCATTTACTGAACAAATATGATTTTAGAAAATAAATAGACCATTCATATAAATAATATACAATTTAAGTCTTTCATTTTGTATTATCGTTCTTGTTTTCTTCGATAAATTGTCGACATCAACCAACACGAACCTCGAGTCGGCCATCTTTGTTTTGACAAGGCGCGAAATTTAGCGGGACAAAAAACGATATCCGGGACAAGAAACGATATCCGGGACAAAAAACGATATCCGGGACGATATCGTTTTTATGTCCCGCTGCTTCCTACCTGATAAAGGTACAAGTATGTGATAAAGGTTGTTATCGTCGAAGTTATGCGAGATGTATGCGCGGTGTGTCAGCACACTCCTATATATCTATATGGTCTCTTAATGAGCGTGTTGTAGTAATTAAATCCATATCTATACAATTATAACATGGAAAGGCGTCCTTATGTCATGCAATTTTCTTGCAACAACCAGAACCTAAAAGCAGATGATAAATATAGTCATATAGTTAAATATTTCCTTACAAACAGAATCAAGATGCAGTGAATATTCTATCCTTTACTATTAATTTCTAGTAAAACCAAGGATTATTAACTTGACCGGAAATCAAACTGCGCTGTTGTATCACAACGTGACGTTAACATGTGAAATTTTGGCAAATCCGCCTGCCCAAATCTGGTGGACCAAAGATGGTGACACGTCACATCTCAACAATGTCCAATTTGCGAACGATAACAAGACTCTGGTTATTACAAAAGCTGTACTGGATAACATTGGAAACTATTCATGTCATGCAAGCAATAGTTCGACAAATCAAAGTTTAACACTAAATTTAAAAGGTAATTAAGTGGAATAAGATAATGCACAAAAAGCGCTACTGCGGTTGCAGGTGGGCGAAAACCGCCCTGTCTTTGACCTCGTAACCAGAGCTGTATGCTTCCGCGATTGGACTGGTTTGTTTTGCAAACCGATTTGGCAGAACGAGTGTGAAATGGCAATTTTCGTTTGAATATTGAATATTGAATAAATAAGATTTTTAACATTTTCGCTCGCGATACAGTATACACATTATGGAAAACCATTTGGTCGAAATATGAATATTAATTTTGCTTCGGTTGAACATACATTTCTCAAATAAAGAGTCTAATACGAATATATTTGTTCAAAGCATGATCTATATAGTTTAAAATACTCATTAAAAATTCATAAACCTAGCTTGTGGCAAATCATGTCAGTCATAATATGTCACGTGGAGTGACTTTATATCTGATAAAACTCATCTTCATCAGTATTCTTTATATAATTGTTCATCCTAATTAGTATGATTATATAATTGTTCATCCTAATTAGTATTCTTTTGTAGTCGCATTTTAAGCTATTCAAAACACTCGAACTCGCGTTTTATCATATCTAAAACGCTAGGCTGCGCCTCGCGTTTTAAATATGATACAACACTCCTTCTCGTGTTTTAAATACTACATAATGCGGTTTCGTTATTGCATTATATATGGAACCATGCAGGCTCTGAATTTGGTTGAAAGTCATCAATATTGACTGGAAAATGTTGCCGTATTGTTGCTTTGTCTCTTTTGATTATATACGTGGCATTGAGTGTGTTTACTCCTGTCTGTAATGTGCAAATTTTTGTCTATGCATTTCAGATAAATTATCATACTATACTCAAAATTTAGTATGCCCAGTAAGTGGCCAGCCGAAGTCAGGGTCTTTTTAACTCATTATTGGCGGAAGCAAAAAGTCCCCGTTGCGGCTAAATTCTTAAAATCGGAATACTTGAGGATACTTTGCGGCGTATAAAATTGTCTTAAATACTATGTTTAACAGCACTACAAAACACGCTCGTTAAAAAAACCCAGTTCTTTTCGGACAAAATTTATTATTTTCAAAGGGGGGCCTTCTATCGCAAACAACTCTTTGCCCCTCGTAGGAGAATTCTTAGGCTCAGATTCCAGCCGTTGTGTTCTCGCCACTCGCCCACTTAACGGCTGGGTCAATGGTTAATATTTCTTGTCTGTGACGTCAAGGTTAATATTTAAATTTATGCATATGTTTTGCATAATTATGTATTTCTGTGCAATGTAAAATGGCGGCTGTCAGGAGCGAACAATTTTGTTTCGAAGAGGAAATAGCAAATTTTAACAACTTTGTGCATTCATCGATAACTTTTTTTGTAAAGGAAAACAAAATGGAAGCTTTTAAGTTCATTTGACAAAATGTTATTAAGTTCTAGTATGTTTTTAACGAAGACAGGAACTGCAATGTACACGAGTCAATGAATAGTATATATCTAAATAGTAAAACAATAAACTCTACCAACAAAAGCAGGTGAATCTGAATAATTAACGTCTTATTTCAAACAAATAGTTTTTCAATGAATATTCTTTGAAGAGGAACATAAATTTAATGTTAATATTTGAGTTGTTTATAGACTATAGTTATACGTAATGCAATTTTACTCTTTGTGATTAATATCTAAATATTTTCTTTATGATCGATTTTGTTCGAGGTACAGTGAAGGAACTACGTCTTTTATAGACCAAACAATAGTCTGTCAAGATATGATCATTATGATGGTCTGGAAGCCTGCAAACTTCAAAGCTACAAAATAGAAGACCTAGTGTTTGATGTTGAACTGTACCTTACTGTGCACCTTCATAGATTTGGTTAAACAGTCTTTAGATGTAGCAAGAATATTTGAAATTTAAAATGTTCTTGGCTTTATTTCAGTGTTGCATAAGTTGTCTGTACAAATGGAGGCCGGGTGTGCTCATCGACCCATATATGGTTCAGTGTATGACTGTTGACCAAGTCAGTAATCATTTGTAGCTACACACAGCAGTGAGGGGTATTATTGTGGTAATGGTGACAGGATATTGCCTTTCCAAATTGAAAAAAAATGATTTGATGAAATAACCCCCCCCCCCCACCTTACACCCCTTTGCCAATGTTAAGGGGGGGTGCATCCCCGTGGCAGTAAATACATCCAGGGATGGATCCAGCATGATCTGGTAGGGGGGTGCTCTGCCAGCTCTGGTGCCGAGATGTGTCGGTCATGTGTGCCACCCGCCCATCAACTTGCTTCACTACTGCAAAGTACTGCTTGACTACTGTATTTAAATTGTAATTGCTGTTCACATTTCACTTATCATCATGTTATTACTCAAATTACTGTATGTCATTTTGTCTCTAATAACTTTTTGCTTTATCATGAAAAATAGCACCCCCCCTGCACCCCCATCCCTGAATACATCTCTGCAGGAATGCAAGAAGAATTTGGCTTCTATTCCCCCATGAAAACTTAATCCCCCATGCCAGGATAATTTTGGTGTTTAACATTTTGATATTTTCTAACTAAAGTGTTACTGCAACAAATTTTCTGAACCCTTGTTTATTAGCTTAAATAAATATTCAATCTTTCAGAACTAGCAATTTATCATGCTTTGTCATTCTCAGTCTGGCTTTCATATGAACAGCCGATAAAAACACACATTGACATGACAACTATCCTTTTCTTAATACCATACTGACAAGGTTTCCAAAACTCAGCCTGAGGGCTGAGAGCAAACATATTTGAGCTTGTTGAACAGACTAAATGCATATTTCACTGATGTATGAATTTATAAAACATTGCATACTTTTATTCCATAAATCCTCTACTTAGGCTATCCAACAAGTCCCATTCTTTGCCCCTTCACAACAAAGAAACACATGATACCAATTGGATTTATTTATTGCCCTTCAAATAACTATGTGCCCACATTTATTCAATTAGTATTCATGGTAAATCATATTGTCAATACTGTATATAAAATAATATTGAATTTCTTGTGCTTGCCTGTAATTAGCATATATGAGCACACTTATATATATCAGTTTCAGTTCACAAATTACCTGCCCAGTCTAAAAAATACTGTCAAATGGCCCAAACTAGCTTGTGGGAGATCTAACCATGCAAGCCTATTATTACCTAGCCATGGGCTCCATGAAAGGGCCTGTTTATAAAATCCCAGCTAGGCAGGATGAGGCAGTTTCCAAGATCCTGACTATCATATCAACTCATGTTCAAAAATACATGTATATATTTGATGAACTCACTCATGAACATGTATAAACATGACATCCTAGCTGCCTGGCAAGGTTTCCCACTTTCCCACCTGACAGGATCATATAAACATGTCTTAATATCAATTAAAATAAGCCTTTTAAATACTGCAATATCCTACATACTAATATACTATATGTCACAAGACTTTGCAAAATAACATTTTCTACTTTCTTGGTAATATGTCAGACCAGCCCAATAATAAACATATCCAGGTTTATTGTAAATATAATTGTAAATGTCCAACTGAATCAGCAGAAACAGGGAGGGTTTCAAAGGACTAGGCCACCTAGCTAACTAAGCTAAAAAAAAGAAAGGTTATTAATTTTGCTCAGCCACACGCAAAATATTCTTTACCCTTTCATGACCAAGAATCCTCAATGAGATATATTATTTATATTAAATACAATATAAAAATATGCAACGGATTCGAAAATACGAAAACATTCCAGCGACTATTATTCGTAGAGAGACTTCGGTTCGTGTCGTAAAAATCGTCGGAATTACTCTTCCCCAAAAAATGTCGCTTTAACCCATGTAGTTCACGTATAAATATCATTGAACAGATCTTTTTAAGTGCACATATTTGCACAACGCCGACCTCGAACGCTTCAGCAATGCGCTTTAGCCATATTTAATTTATTACCTTTGTGTTAAATTTATGCATTATTAATACAAATTTATGCCCCCAAATTTTGGGGGGCTGTAATGTGATTGGTCAATCAGAACAATGCCGAAGCTCATTGACCCAGCCGTTAAGTGGGCGAGTGGCGAGAACACAACGGCTGGAATCTGAGCCTAGAGAATTCTTGGCGCCACCACTGTGGTGTAGTGTGGTAACCTACAGATCGAGTCACGAGTCGAGTCACTCAAAGACACGAGTCGAGTCATTTCATTATATAATCGAGTTGAATCACCTCCAGTCGATGACTCCAATTCGAGTCCATGCATAGCTGGTCATCAAGTTGAGTCAGGGAATTTGATCAAGTCCACCCACACTTTCTGTCATGTTTGGGACCCCCAGCTTGCGGTCTGTTAATTTTTCATTTTAAGCCAATTACTTCAGTCATTTAATTACAATACTAGCTAGGCTTGAACATACATTTCTTATAATGAAAATATTTCTATCTTTCAGCACGTCCAAAGACTTACATTGTTGGAGAAGAAATTAGGAAGTTGAGGCAAGGACAAAGGAATAGTAGTATAGTTTGTTTTGGTTATGGCTATCCGAATCCTAGAGCAACCTGGAAAATAAACAACACAGAAATCCCTGAAGACTCGAATTCATCTATTGGCAGTGGAATATACCAGTCTAGATCCACCAATGACTTGGTGTTACAAAATGTTACCAGTACATTATTTTTCAACCAAGATGGAAGCACTTTTGATGATTTTGGAAACTACACGTGCGAAGTTTCCATCGATGCAGCACCAGACACTGACTCTGCGAACACGAAAGTTATATGTAAGTTATATTGATTTAGCTTGATCATTTAAATTTGCTAAAAATACAACAGACATTTCCAAAATATATTAGTTTAAAGCATTCATTGTATTTTCATTCCTAACTATTTCTCCATATTGTGAAAAATTTTTAAAATGTTCTTCAGTTTTGTCGCTACGACCAATGTTTGTCAGGAACCAAGATCTCGAGATTCCACTGCTTTTCTAGGTTTATGAGAGTGTAATGGTGGGACTATCACATCAGTTAATTGCATACTAGTTAATTAATTATTTCCGTAGTATCATATCTATATATTATCTTTTGTATAGTTTACCCTATTATTCTAACTCAACCAAACAATAAAACAGATTTACAAGGCAAGAACGTGCGTTTCGACTGCGAAGTTGATGGTAGACCGAAACCTTTAGCATTATGGTCGTTCAATAACCAATCTGTCACAACCAACCACAGCAAGTTTTCCAATGGCGGTCTACTTTTATATTCTGTTCAAAATAACGACTTGTACGAAGGGAGCTATTCATGTTTCGCTGAAAATGAAGCTGGTCGAAGTGAGAAATCAACAAGTTACCTTACAGTACATGGTAGGTTTTTTGGAATGAAAATTTGAATGATTATATAAGTTGGGTAGTCATAGACAGTATCCCGCCACTTACAATCAAGTATTAACGTATTCATATACTGCACATAACACAATTTGCAAAAGTTTTAGAAATTTCTCATCGAATTTTCATCTAAATCGAAGCTAAAATTTGTCCTTGGCCTACGACCATTAATTCCGCGATTGTCCGTATTAAACAGTTCAAATATTTGTTTAGTTTATACCCTGCATTGTGACGAAAAAACACAAACAAATAAACCGTGCCTTAATACTAAATAATATATGTTTGTTTGCAGTGCCTGCCAAAATATTGAAAATATCAGAAACTAAAGTACACCAACTCAAGGACAACGTAACGTTAACATGCAATGTTTCTGGTGATCCACGCCCGAGTATTTCCTGGACAAAAGCAAACTATTCAAGTCCATTAACACCTCCCAAGTTTCAACTGTCAAATTATAACCAATCACTGACAATTATGAATGTCCGTCTGCAAGAACAAGGAACGTATATTTGCAACGCATCGAACAATGCAAATATGCCACAGTCAAACGAAATGTTACTGTGAATGTTGAAGGTATATATGTTATTTTTCTCAGCACAGGCTCTTATGTCTACACAGGCTGTATTGAATAATAATCGGTAAAATGGACAAATATTTTACGATGTCAAAATAAAATAAACTCTTGAGAGATTATCTGCACTCCTGCCACTCCACTGCCCATCCCACAGTTCTACCTTTCTCCATTGTTGTGGCCGTACCAATTTATCATATCTTCTTCCCCAGCTTCACCGTCACAGTTCTTCCCTTATATCTTCGTCCCCCGTTCTTTCTCGACTTGTTCTCATACAGTACCTTGCAGACCACTTATCTCCAGTACTTACAGTTTCTACACTTTTTCTTTATTTAAAGCCCACGTCTCTGCACCATAAGGATGATCACTGATCTTACAATGAGTTACCTTCGTCTACTAAAGGGTATCAACGTAACAATCTCATGTGTTTTTCATTATAGTTAGTCCTGAAGCTGAAGTGAACACTTCATCAGCAATATATCTTAATAGTACTGACGGACAAACAGTCATTCGTTGCCGTGGTAGAGGATATCCTCCTCCAGTTGTCAGTTGGTTCAGGGATGGAAAAAGAATAAATACCAACAGTTCTTCAGACGTCTACCAAGATTTTGGTACAACTGTATCCCACAGATTTCTTGGATGGATATCAACAATTCTTTACGTCAACCCAGACGCCACCCACAGTCAGTTTGGAAATTACACTTGTAATGCAAAAAAACTGAAGGATAATAAAGAAAATGATCTTGAAGTTGTCGAAATTGTTCGTAAGTATTCTATGCCTGAATTGTTCGTAAGTACCTTTGCGCACCATGACATATATTACAGAACTGAACTATTTTATTTCTGTAAAGAATGAAACTTTTCTATTTAAATTTTTCCGAGTAAACGATAGTTTGCTCGAAAATTATCATCAATCTATAGTATTTGTTTCAGTCAACATACACTAAGATAACAATATAAAATTCGAATGTTTGTGTATAATACAACTACTTGAAAAATACAAACATTTTTAGGTTGTTGTATAATCTACAAAAATTCGCAGTTTGTATTCCTTGCTGCTTACATTGTCACTTATCGTTCGGGAGATAAGAATATCGACGTTCTGGTTCCTGTCTTGCTCCGTATTTTTTTATAAATTAATTTATGTTATATGTGACGGGTTTGTTATGGCCATTAAGCCCTCTAGATGCTTTCATATTTTTTATAAGCTAATATCTTTTTGATATTTGACTTTTAGACAATCTGAACTGTCGTGACATTCTCCCAGAGCGCCTCTCGCCATTGGTTTTGAACTTTTAGTCAGGGGGGTTGGGAACTTCTTTTTTCTAGTTGCTCGATGCTCACGTTTAGTTGAGTATAGTCTCTTTTTATGACAAAAAGCTACAGAATAAAGGCGTTTAAATCTTTCTCTTAGTTTAATTTAATGGTTTATTGCTTGTACAACACGGCTACTAGATACATATCACAATATTTTACAAAGCCTGATTCTGTTTCATCTAAATCACAGAAGTGCACAGCAAATGAATTTGTAATTTCCGTGCTCGACATGCTGTTAATTTGTTTGTTTAAGATATTAACTTCGTTTGCAAACTCTATTCGAAGACAGGTCATAAGAAGAATTGATCCATTAATCAATTTCCATATTTACATATAGAAATCTTTAGTATACTCATGTTATGTTTAATAATTTTAAAATTGAAATATATTTCCAGACCTAAAATATTTCCAACTTGACATCTTTGATACATTTGCCGGTTTCTGTCATCTTTCCCGACGGAATTTTTCCTCTAAATTTGCCAAACTTTTATAGACAAACTTCAAATTAATTCTTTTTCTCTTTTTTTCCTTAGCCCTCCACTTTTATTTATTTTCTTTGGGGAGGCGGCTATAGCCTTTCTCCCCGTTCCCTCGCCTATGCCCATTGGTGTTTAGACCTTTATCTTCTATCAAAAACTTATTTTAATAAATTTTCTGTTTCATTCGATCATTGTAGTGGTCCCTAAAGTTTCTATAACTAAAACTCCTAACACGAGCATAGCGTTGCAAGGTACAAACGTAGCCTTCACATGTAGAACGGACGGATCTCCAAAGCCAACAATAGCCTGGAGTAGAGTTAATGGAACTATTTCAACGACGAAGTCTTCAGAAATAACTTCTGAAGGAAAAAGCGTTTTGATATTAACAAACGTGACCATGCTCATAACAAAGGAAAACCTGTTAAAAAGCAAGTCAGTTTAATTGTTCATGGTAAGCGCAGTACATGCCAGTTTTATTCCTTTTCAGTTGCTCGCAGCCAACATTTTATATCACGAAAATGATTTCTTTGTACAGCAAGTTATTTATACTTGCAAGTGATGAACCAGGCGGGAATCGTAATCGTAGTATAAAGATTAATGCCATGCATAACGTACGCAAAAGAGCCATATAGACAATAATATTATGTCTATATTATTGTCTATATGGCTCTTTTGCGTACGTTATGCTAGGCATTAATCTTTATACTAAGTTATTTATGCCTTTTATTTCTATTACGATTTAAATGGATTATATTTCCCTCCATTTCTCAAATGATACTGTATGTTTTTACATGGCCAGCGCGTGGTTGAAAAGATAGTTTTATGAAATTTGTTTTTGTTTATATGTTTCCTCATTATCACACTAACAACTCCTTTTTGGTAACTCAGACAATATTGAATTTTAATCAAACCTTTTTTTCTAAATACCAGAAGCAAAGAGTCTATCATATACTTTTAGTGATCATGTGATTTATTCGTTTCACGTGTTAATAAATCCGGACAAAATTGAAAGGGAAACTTTTGAAAAAGCAGTTGTGTGTAGTGCTCACTTGTAGGGCTCGTATGGTATTAAGTTCTTTGTAGGTTTGCATGGCGATAAAACATATAGTATTATCAGTGTTGTGGAAACATCAGTACGTAAATTTATTATAAATCAGGGCCGTAGGAAGCTCTTTTCGATTAGGGGGGGGGGCTGAAAGCGAGGGCCTAAGGTCCGAGGAAATTTTTGAAAAATTTGGAGTCTCTGAAATACCATTTCCTGGACTTTGGGGAAGATTTGACAGAATTCTGATAGTCAGAAAAGTTAGAAAACAGCGTTTTAGTCAATCTCGTACCCAGAGCAATGCGCGGGCTAGGATGGCATTGGCTCTGGGGAAATTGAATTTTTCCTGTGCTGTGATTGGTTTAACGTTTGTCAATCGTGCATGCCGACAAAGAACCGGAACCCCTAAATTTAGGGGTTCCGGTTGTCAATGTCCCCAGAGCCAATGCCATCTTAGCCCGCGCACAAGCATTGCTCTGGGAACGAGATTGCGTTTTGGTATGTTGAAATTTACAATTTAGTAGTACTAAATGGGTGAAGGCGTGTTTAATTAACTATATATTGAATAAGTTGCAGGAAAGTATGGGTAATATCTTCATTCTTTGCAGTTTGTCACGGATTAAATGATAAAGGTCTGCATGATTTTGAAAAAAGAATGATTATTAGCAAATTATGGGGGAGGGGGCGACTGCAGCCCCCTAGCACCCCGGTTGCTACGGCCCTGTAAATTTATTTAAATGATTTACGTAAATTTATTTTTCGTACAGTATTGTTGTTCATGAGTACCAGGGGCTTTTAAGAATTTGTCAGTGGGCTGGGGAGGGGGGAGGCATTCCCAGAAAGGGATCCTACTATACTGAGTGCGGAGAGATAGCAGGTAGCTGTCGGTGACAAAAAGTTCGGGGGGGATGGTATGTAATATGGGGGCATGGCGACATTATCTCCCAGAAAATGTTCGTATTCTTCCACCCCTAGGACCACATTTGGTGCGTTTCCTGAAATAGACTTTTGGATATACAACGTTACATTATATTGCATGGCATGCAAAACAAGGTCACTAACTTGTTTAGCCTATCCTTGCAACAACTCCAATCTATAGGGTCTGGGATATGCTATCCACTGGTAATTTTTAAAATCTAGATCTAAGGTATTTACAACACAAAGTTTAACGTTGATGGTCCGTCCCTTACTAGAATATTAAATCGCTCTTCTAAATTCCTTTTTCCTTCCAATATTTTGGTTATATTTTAGAGAAAAGGAACTTGACTGGGGGGGGGGAGAAGAAAATTGTTGACTGGGAGGTGGGCTTAGGAAAGGGGACTTTGGGTCCCTCAGTCATAGTCATATAGTTAAAAGATAAGTACTATATACAGTATTTGCTTCATTAAATCACTCATTCGCCTTTTGTCTTCTTCGGTTCCAGCCATTGAAATTAATATAACTGGAACGCTACTTCCAACCGGAAATTTGAAGCCAAACTTGATTACCTGAAGGCCATTCCCATTCTTTTCACGCATGCGAAAATCGCTTAATCAGACAATCATGATATAAACACGCGGGTTTAGACCCGCGTGTCTGGGGTGGGGGGTTCAAGATTTTGCTTCGGGAAAAAAGATAGGCAGTTTATCCGAACTCGGTGGCGTTCCACTTCCAATTCTATTTATTTCAATGGTTCCTGCACGGTTTACCACTCACAAATTGCAGACAAGGCCTGGTTACATTGGTCTACATAATTTCTGGGGTTTTTTTTTCAGTTAAACCACGAGTATTGCAGAATTTGAAAGAAGATTATGTTCAAAACGGCATTTCATATAAGCTCAACTGTAGTGCTTATGGAGATCCTGCTTTGAAATATTCCTGGACTATAAATGGCAACCAAAACATCTCGAATGCTATCCCATTCAATGGAGATAAAACTCTACATATTAATCCAGTAACAATTGAAAATGAAGGAATATATAAATGCCTGGTCACAAATATTGAAGGAAATGCGTCAACGACAGCAAGTATAACAGTATTTGGTGAGTTTTGTGTGCGTTTTTTATGGTAATTCTTTATACAATAATACTAGCTAGACAGACAGCGGGAGCTGTGCGGTGCCGTAAGCTTAATAATATGGTATAACAATTACATATAGGTTATCATGTTAAATTGAAAACAAAAGAAATATTTTATATTTTATCAGGAAAAATTTGAATTGCGTCATCAATTTATTTAAATAAAAACCAAGAACGATTATCTATTTCTTATAACATCTTCATTTTTAGCTCGCCCTTCAATTATGAATTCTCCTATGGATCAAACACGCAACGAAACCGACAATGTAACATTTTCATGTGGTGGTAACGGGATTCCAATCTCTGATATTATCTGGACGAAAGACGGTCGAGGTAAAATAACAACCTCAGAAAAATATCACATCAAAAATACTAAAGAACTGTACTTCCGAACATCTCGCTTAACAATAAATAATCTGACATATGCTGACAGAGGAAACTATTTGTGCACATTGAAGAACAGGAAAGATGAGGATGTTGAAACTGCAGTGTTAGTTGTTCAGGGTAAGAGTTCAAAATACAGTAAACGCTGATTGATTTTGGATTGAGCTTTACTTACACTACTAAACATGTGTTGTTGTTTTTTTATTCATTGCTGTATATGGAAGCAATGCTTCCGGTGAAATGGAGCGCTGTGATTGGCTGAGAACGATCATGTTCGTGTGATAAACCAATTCGCTATGTAAACATGCATGTCAGGAAATAACTACTACGTTCCATTTCTTTCTTTTCTAGTTCGCCCGGTTGTATTAAGTATTGACCTTAACTCACTGAGCGTGAATATTACTGAACCTGTTACATTTACTTGTGAAGTTTATGGTTTTCCCCAACCTCAAGTATCATGGATAAAAAATAGTCAGGAGATAAAGAACAAGTTCCACTATAATACGTCTAGTCTTTATGGAAATGGTTCAAACTTGATTTGGTATAGTTATCTTCAAATTGAAAACGTCGAACGAGATGATACTGCGAATTACAGCTGTTTTTTGAAAAATGCGGCTGGAACTGATATTACTAACGCATCACTTGTTATATTAGGTAACTTTTAGCGCTTTGAGTAATTTTCTACTGCTAATCTTTTTGAAACGACTCGATTCTACACATTAATATATGAGGCCAAAAATACGACCACTTCGTGAAGTTGTCCTTGAAAGCAATTTGAATACGTTCTTTCTTATTCTGCTTTGGACCAATATATGTCTTTTAGATGGGTTTCAGTGCAAGAGTTTCAAGCATCTCCCCAGTAATAGACAGAGCGATATCGTTACACTTAAGTGAATTTTAACAAAGCAGAAGCAAATTATGAACATGTATTAGTACATGTGCACAGTGTATTACGAGCATATATTCCACTGTAAAACTAAATCATTCAAGTAATCTTTAAATAAAATGAACAAATTCTTGAATAATTGATTACGCGAAGGTCACATGTCCACCTTTGTCTTTCTTGATATACAAGGATTAACTTTCGCTAAGCTGGTCTTTAATAACATACCCCAGAGTAATTCCATCAATTTATCATTACTGTATGTTTAATGTTTACATCTAGAACGTCCGGATCCACTCAACGTATCAATCAAGAACGTCACTTCAAGGTCAGTGGTCGTAGAATGGAAGGCAAATTTCGATGGTAACAAGGATATCTTACGCTATACTCTGACGTATTTAATCAACGGAAGTGAATCAAGTACAACAAAGCAAAAGATGCTTTCCTCAAATGTGATGTCATACAAAGTGACGTCATTAAAACCTTACAGCACCTACATCTTTGAAATGACAGCGACCAATGAAATTGGTGTCAGTGATATTTCTTCTAAATCTGTTGATACTTTACCAGACAGTAAGTAATGATTTTATTGTTTTCAATATAGATGAATATAGAAGAATTAAACATATGTCAGTAATAATTACAATATGTAATCACAGACTTTATTATTCGTTATGGATACCTTTGCTCCGAAGCTCAAAAATATTCATAAGTTCTCTAATAAGTTTGAAAATTGTCTACAAAAAATGTACAAAATATAAAACACAACAATAGAAAATATAAACATAAAAATGTAAAATACAAAAATAATTTTATTTGCGCTTGTATTTACTTAGGAGCTAATTTATATATATTATAAATTTAAGTTAATGGGCAATGCTGTCCACAAATTTAGTCTAATTTATATGACAATCGATTTGAATATTTTGCGTGCGGTACAAAGGTCACAGACCCGCAGCTGTCATTTGTA